TACTAACTAATCTAACAACACTATAGGAATCTACTAACTAACACCACTATAGGAATCTACTAACTAATCTAACACCACTATAGGAATCTACTAACTAATCTAACACCACTATAGGAGTCTACTAACTAATCTAACACCACTATAGGGATCTACTAACTAATCTAACACCACTATAGGAGTCTACTAACTAACACCACTATAGGAATCTACTAACTAATCTAACACCACTATAGGAGTCTACTAACTAATCTAACACCACTATAGGAGTCTACTGACTAATCTAACACCACTATAGGAGTCTACTAACTAATCTAACACCACTATAGGAGTCTACTAACTAATCTAACACCACTATAGGAGTCTACTAACTAATCTAACACCACTATAGGAGTCTACTGACTAATCTAACACCACTATAGGAATCTACTAACTAATCTAACACCACTATAGGAGTCTACTAACTAACACCACTATAGGAGTCTACTAACTAATCTAACACCACTATAGGAGTCTACTAACTAATCTAACACCACTATAGGAGTCTACTAACTAACACCACTATAGGAATCTACTAACTAATATAACACCACTATAGGAGTCTACTAACTAATCTAACACCACTATAGGAGTCTACTAACTAATCTAACACCACTATAGGAGTCTACTAACTAATCTAACACCACTATAGGAGTCTACTAACTAATCTAACACCACTATAGGAGTCTACTAACTAATCTAACACAAATATAGGAGTCTACTAACTAATAGGAGTCTACTGACTAATCTAACACCACTATAGGAATCTACTAACTAATCTAACACCACTATAGGAGTCTACTAACTAACACCACTATAGGAGTCTACTAACTAATCTAACATCACTATAGGAGTCTACTAACTAATCTAACACCACTATAGGAGTCTACTAACTAACACCACTATAGGAATCTACTAACTAATCTAACACCACTATAGGAGTCTACTAACTAATCTAACACCACTATAGGATTCTACTAACTAATCTAACACCACTATAGGAGTCTACTAACTAATCTAACACCACTATAGGAGTCTACTGACTAACACCACTATAGGAATCTACTAACTAATCTAACACCACTATAGGAGTCTACTAACTAATCTAACACCACTATAGGAGTCTACTAACTAATCTAACACCACTATAGGAGTCTACTAACTAATCTAACACCACTATAGGAGTCTACTAACTAATCTAACACCACTATAGGAGTCTACTGACTAACACCACTGTAGGAATCTACTAACTAATCTAACACCACTATAGGAATCTACTAACTAATCTAACACCACTATAGGAATCTACTAACTAACACCACTATAGGGATCTACTAAGTAATCTAACACCACTATAGGAATCCACTACGTTACCCCGTTGATACTCACCCATCTCCTCCCCTTGTTTATAACCCCAGCAACCACTAACTGTTCCCCACCTATCTTGATAATTGTCATTTCATGAATGTTATATAAATGGAATCATGCAGTCTGTACACTAGTATAGCCCTTTGAGATTGGCTTTTTCTCACTCCACATGATTTCTTTGAGGATCATCCAGGTTATTGAATGAATCAATAGTTTGTTCCTTTTTATTGCTGAGTAATATTCCATGGTAGGGTCGTGCCACAGTTTAACTATTCACCCTCTAAAGGACATTTGGATAGTTTCGTTTCTTTTTACTATTGTGAATATAGGTGCTATGACCATTCATATACAACTTTTTGCATGGGAATAAGTCTTTATTTCTCTGGGGTAAATGCAAAGAGTGCAATTGTTCATTTGTATGCTAAGTCCATTTTTAGTTTTGTCAGAAACTGCCGAAATCTTTTTCAGAATGGCTGAACCATTTTGCACTGCCACCAGCAACATACGAGTTACTCAGTTTTCCTGCATCCTTGCCAGCATTTGGTGTTAACACAATTTTTTATTTTAGTCATTTCTAATAAGCTACTCATTGTGGTTTTAATTTGCATCTCTCTAGTGGTTAATGATATTGAATATCTTTTCATGAGATTATTTTCCATTTATATATCCTCTTTGCTGAAATATCTGTGTGTGTCTTTTGTCCTTTTTAAATTGGATTTTTTCTTTAGTAAGTGTTGAGAGTTCTTTCTATATCCTATATGCTGGTCCTTTATTGGATATGTGACTTATAAATATTTTCTCCTAGTCTGAAATTTTTCTTTTCATCTTAACAGGATCTTTCACAGAGCAAAGTTTTTAATTTTCCTAAGGTGTAATTGATCAAATTTTCTTTTTATGGATCATACTTTTCCCTATTCCCATATCCTACAGATTGTTTATATATGTGTGTATATATATATATATATATATATATATATATATATATATATATTTCCTGTTTCCTTTATAAAATTCACTATTTTGCCTTGATATGTTTTATTGTCCTTATTCCTACTACATCCTTTATTTTAAAACTAGGGCCCAGTGCATGAAATTCGTGCATGGGTAGGGTTTCTAGGCCTGGCTGGCGATCAGGGCTGATCTGCAGGGTGACTGGCAGGGCAATTGGGGCCTCCTGCTGGCACCTGCCTGACTGGCCTGGCACCGCCCACTCGCTGGCCCTGCCCCCCGTCACCAACACATGTCAGGACCTACACACTGTGGGAAGCTTCAGCTTTGAGTGTCTGCCCCCTGGTGGTCAGTGTGTGTCATAACAACCGGTCATTCCATGGTCGTTCCACTGTTCAGTCAATTTGCATATTAGGCTTTTATTATATAGGATGTTTTCACTCCATTCCATATCACTAATCATGAAACAGATCATCATAGTCATTCCTGTTACAAAAATAGAGTCCTGTATTGAATATGTAGATTACAATCTTCATTAGGAGAGGAACTAGAACCTGTTCTATTAAGGCAAACTTCATGATATCTATGTTCATGGTAAGCATGTAGTAAGCCCGCATTTTTTATTACATGCAATTCTTCTTCACTTTTCCTTAAGATGAGATTTGGTCAAGGAAAAAAGTATAGCTAAGACATGCCTCCTACTGAGACCTCTGCATGGATGACAACACAACTTCTCTTTTCTAAAGTCCTCTCTCTCAGTGCTTCCTTTGATATTCACTGCAGTGTACCTGGGAGAATTTTTGTAAAATATAGATGCTTATGCCATCAACATTTTTGGTGATAATGAAAAATTCCATGCCTTTTAAGTGTTAGAATAGATTTGTTGGCAGAAGCTTATAACTTGAAGTGCAGTGTATTCTTTGATGTTAGAATTGTATGTTATTATCTCATCCTTAGGGGGGAAAAAGTAAAGGAGTTGAGATTCTTTTCTATTTTGTAAGATGTGTATTTATGCCTTCTTCTTTATACCTTTTATATTTTCCTTTGTTTCCTTGTTTGTATTGGTAAGTATTTGAAACAACAGTATTACTGGGTACAGAATATAGTCGGAGGCATAGATATACCCATCCAGGGGGGAGATAGTTGCTTTTTGCCTAATTTCCTGCTGACTTCATATATACCCTGAGATTCATAATCATGAGCATGTCATTATTATTTATGACATTGAGAGACACGCAATAGTTCTCATCAATAGAGTCATTAGATGACAAAAACCCCAACTAAAGTTTCCCAGATTCATAGATTCACTCACTGTGGTTGGACTAGATGACCTTCCTGTTTCTCTCAAGTCTAAGAATCTATGGCAACTTCTGTCACTGGTCTTTTTTCTCTTTTCTTAATATGAACTAAAAGACCTAAAAAAATTAGAGGATGCAAAATAGGTGTAGTTGTCAAGGAAGAAGCAATTAGTTCACACCGGGTCTCTTCTATCATAAATTAACTCAGTACCCTTACAATGCAACTTGGTCTTTTTGAGATTTGTCCATTTTCCAAACTACAAAGGGAGACCCATTCTATGATATATCAAGGTTGATGGTTTCGTTTCCTTATGCAGGGAGACTTATTTTGATAATATCCCATCTTACCTTTGAGCACAGTAGGAGATTTTTGTTGAGCAGAACTATGAGAATTTGAGGAAGTGTGTTTTGATGGCTCTTGGACAAATCTTTAAAAATGTGTTATTTATTTAAGTATCAGTGGTAAGGCTCCCAGTTTTTTTTTTAAAAAACCTGTTTGTGGACATAGAGCTCTCTCTGTACTGTTAAAAAGCAGGTTATGGCCCTGGTCAGGTCACTCAGTTGGTCAGAACATTGACCCAGTATGCCATGATTGTGGGTTCGATCCCCAGTCAGGGCACATACAAGAAATAACCAATGAATGCATAAATAAGTAGAACAACCAAACAATCTCAATCTCTCTCTCTCTCTCTTTCTTTCTCTCTCTCAGCAATAAAATAATTTTAAAAAGCAGGCTATGCACATTGAGAGGAGACTAGTTCATGGCATCTTGTTTCTTAAGGCTTACACTCTTGTCTTTGAAAGTTGTGTGTAGGTAAGCTGCATGGAGCAGGGATCTGAAGGTAAACATCAATGATGTGCTAAGTCAATGGTGGTAATTCCACATCCCATATTTCATAATAACCTCCTTTCAGAGAGCACACACTCTGATGGGCTTGGGTGGTGGTAGGAAACGACTCCAGGGAGGGCTCCTGTGCTGTAGCTCAGCGGCTCGATAAAAAGAACCCTGTTCCTCACCAAACCTGTGGTTTCCTGTGATGTTTAGTCGTCCGAGGAGAGCAATGCTTCCTCCCAGTGTTTCCTACTGGAGGCTGTGATTGTGATGGTGATACTTATGATTTACCGGTAGATATTTATACACATTGACTGATCATCATATGTTCTGGGTCTTTCATGTGGAGCTTCTAAGCCCAAAAACATGAAAACCAAAGCAAAACAAAGAATCTTGTTATCCAGGCAAGTCTTTCTCCCTCTCTCTCTCTCCCTTTCTTTTAGAAAAATACTTTATGATAGAAAAACACAAACACAATATGAATAGTAACTGAAAAAGCATTGCTTCCTTTTAGAAAACCACTGGGATTTGCATAAACCACTCGACTGTCTGGCGAACGCTGAGCTGCTCTGTCAGTCCCGGGGGACTTTTCACATTAGGTTCTTTGTATTTTCACAGACAGGGCAAGTTCTACATTTGAAGGTGGGTATTTGTTAAGTGCTTCCAATAATGACATTTTGTGAAACTGATTTTCCAAAAGTCTTTAAAAAAGTCAATGAAAGCATAACCTCTTCTTTACTGTGATAATCATGTGAAGGAAATTAAAGGTCTTGAAGGATTTTGAATTTGTGCTGGGCACAGTCTGTTAATTATTTGCCTTTAGTGAAGCTGACATGTGTTAAGGCGAACTACTCAAACTATTCCAGTTTGAGAATTGGGAAGTTTAAAGGAATTTCTGTCATCACTTAAAGTCTTAAAGGAGACATCTACAGCAATCTCCAATATGGGTGACGGTTGCTGTGTGGTGTTTGCTTGCTGAAGTAGTTACCCGAGATGGTTCGAGCAACATTGATATAATTCAGTGTTAGAGTTTTGTTGGGGTTCAATTCTGGAAAATTGGATTGACATTGACATTCTTGGAATTAAGTACATGTCCTACTGGTAGTGGCATAATAGCTACCTGGGAATTTCTTTATTATTATTTTTTATCTAGCAACTCCAAACATAATTGATTAAACTTTGGATTGCTGAAGGTTGGCAGTGTTAGAAGTAAACTTTCATAAACCTTAATTGATGCTTTTTCCTATATCTAATTCATACAGTAGTTTGAACCCTAGCCAGTTGGGCTCAGTGGATAGAGCATCGGTCTGCGGACTGAAGGGTTCCAGGTTCGATTCCAATCAAAGGGCACGTATGTGGGTTGCAGGTTCAATCCCCAGCCTGGTCCTCTGGCCCAGGTCAGGTTTCCTGTGGGAGGCAACCAATCAATGTGTCTATCTCACATTAATGTTTCCCTCTCTCTGTCTCTCCCCTCCCCTGCATTCTCTCTAAAAATCAATGGAAAAATATCCTTGGGTGAGGATTAGCAGCAACAACAAAAATAGTTTGAAACAGTTTCTTTCATTTTGAGTTGGTACAGAGCTCCACGCTTTATTTTCACCCCGTCTTTTATAGCACCCTGTTTTATCTGGGGTTGTAATGAGTGAGGACTCATCTTGATTTATCTGAAGGTAATAGCAGCGCCTTCAAAGTCAGAGGAATGACAGTCAAAAGAGGTCTTTGTGTAGGCAGAGGACTGAGTGCTAAGACCGATCCACTGTCATCACCATGATCATCGTGGCTAACACTTCTTGAGGTGCCGTGTCTGTTCATTTAATCCTCACTCCAATCCTGGGAGGTACATGTAGCTTCACAATTTCTTATTTAAAACCTTGGGGTCAGGTGTATTTCAGATTTCAGAATAGTTTGGAGTTCACAAAGGTAATCAGGGCAAATGCCACATATTACACAAAATCTCCAGTGGGGTCTGGAAAAGCATCGCAAAAGCAAGCCAGATAGTATTTCTACAGGGAACTATGTGAATAGTTACTCTGAGTGAAATTAAAAATTAAAGCTGTAAGTACTTTCATGTTAATGCAGATCAGATCCTTCCATCAAATGAGGTTAGATATCATCTTGTGAAAAGATTTTTATTTTTTTTCTGAGCTAACCAAATAAATATGATTAATAACAGAGAACTGATTTTTTTCTTGTTTTAGAAAAATATAAGAATCTTGGTGCTTTCTCTGTTTGCTAGACAGTATTGGAGAACCCCTCCTCTTTACTATCCTCCCTGAATCACACCAACTACTTAGGCAGTAATTGCTCCTGTGCTTTTTATAGATAGTCAGTTTTCTCAAAGCGAGGTGAGACTAACATTCCATCCAGAATGAATGGAATTTAACAAGGTGAAACATCATCACTAAGACGAAGTTTAAACTGTGTGTGGATTGAGGCAGTCTCTGTGTCTTAGCCAACGGGCATTTAGTTATGGCAAGTGAACTGACACTGGAGGGGCCACCAGCAACGTGAACGCGGTCTCCAGCTATGTAGCAGGAGTGCAGTATTTAGTGTGGGAGTTAGTCCCATCTCAGTGTATCCAGACCGTGTCCGGATTTCATTTCTGGATGGCCTGTTTTAAAGGAAAGGAGGCGGTGTGTAACCTTTTCCAGGTAGCTTAGTCAGGAGGATGAAAGGACTTGAAGCCATGTCTGGTGAGGCACAGGTGAAGTAATTGGGCAAGTTTACATGAGTGTTTTACCAGTTTCTAGCCACATCAGACTGTAGTACCTGCTCAAATGAGAACAGATACTCCTTGACTCATGATGGGTTTACATCGAGATAAAGCCAGCATAAGCTTTTGAAAATATTGTATGTTGAAAATGCATTTAATACTGCACTAGACAGTATCAGTTGTTTATCCTCGTGATCGTGTGGCTCACTGGGAGGTGCGGCCTCTTGTCACTGCCTAGCATCAGGAGAGAGTATCGTACTGCATATCATAAGCCCAGGAAAAGACCAAAATTCAAATCTGAAGTATGGTGAGAGCATATTGCTTTCACACCATCGCTAAAATAAAAAAAAGAATCCTAAGTTGAACCATCTTAAGTCAGGGACTGTCTATAATTTTAGCCTCATATTGATTGACTGCCAGCTCTATGCCCTTTCCTGAGCTGTTAAACATTTGGGATACAAAGATGAAAAGGCGTGAATTAAGGAGATGGAAATGTGGAAATTGAAACAAAAATAAAATTGTGATAGCACTTCAGAAGCTAGGATATGAATGAACTCTGACCTCTTGAACTAGACCTTATTACTGTTGTAGTAACTCTTTTTTTAAAAAATATATTTTATTGATTTTTTACAGAGAGGAAGGGAGAGAGATAGAGAGTTAGAAACATCGATCAGCCGCCTCCTGCACATCTCCCACTGGGGATGTGCCCGCAACCCAGGTACATGCCCTTGACCGGAATCGAACCTGGGACCCCTCAGTCCGCAGGCCGACGCTCTATCCACTGAGCCAAACTGGTTTCGGCTGTCGTAACTATCTTGACCTGTCCTTTTGAGTCTTGCAATTCTTTCACGTGCTCATTACAGGATTTTCTGAGAGGCTGGTACTGCATGACTCTGTCCAGCTCATGCTTTTCTTCGTTTCATGGATAAAGTGGCCCCGTGAATAGGAATGCCTGCCCAAATACCAGAACTGGAGACCATGGATGAAGATCAAATAATTAAAGAAGTCTTGGATAAGTTTGTTAATTGTCATGAGCAAACATATGAAGAATTTCTGAGCACCTTTATTCATCTTTCGAAAGGTAAAATGGAAAAGTAAACTTTCTATAGTAGTAGAAATAAAGAATTTTAGTGTAATTTTATGTCTTTGCTCCTTTTCCAAAAGACTGTTTGATGAACATTCACTCATTCATTCATTCCATTCCTTTGATCAGACAATTCTTATCAGGGCATTCATGGCTGATTCATGTAAATACCAACATTTTTAATGCAACCAGGAGTTGTATGATGGAGTAAGAACTGTTGAATTTGAGAGTTAAAAAGGACCTGAGAAATCAATCAGTATAATCTCTTCATTTTATTTATGGAGAAACCCAAGTGCAAACAGTGGAGGGGTTTTAAAGCATGTTTAAAACTTTAAAGAAATATAGCACAGGATAGGCTGCGGAGTTATACTGCAAACATTTGTATCCTGGCATCGCCACTTTCTGGCTATGTGATCTTGGGGAACGGGGTTATCGAGGAAAAGGGGAATAATAATAGACCCCCAAAGGTTGGTGCCGGTGAATTGAGAGAATCTGTGTAGAACTCTTAGCATGTTGGCTAACATGTAAGTACTTACTGAAGGCTAGGTATTGTTGTTGTGTGATGATGATGATGATGATGATGATGATGATGATGATGATGATGGTGCTCTGATTTTTGTACAACGGAAACGAACTTTTAGACCAGAAGTGATTAACTGAAGCCTCAAGGCCAAACCTGTGTCGTGTGTGTGTCATTATGTTTTTTGTTTGCCACCCACAGTATTGTTTTTGTTTTTTAGATTGAGCCAACATTTAAGAGTTGCGAAATTGTACATAAAAATCTTGATGTGTTTTTTCTGATAAGTGAGATCTGGTACCTGTAATTTCCCTGTCGGCAATATCAGCTAGAGCTCAGGAGCCCTTGCCCCGTGAGCTCCCTAGTTTGTAGCGCTCTCTGGCACTCACACAATCTAAAAATGTGTGTATACATCGCCTGTTTCATTCACTTAAGTGGCTCCTGTAGGCATTTGAGTTTGTAATTTATATTGTAAATTCTGCTTCGGATCTTCATTGGCTTGATCTCAACCTTGGTCCTTTCTGGGTCATTAATCCACACTTGTGAGGCCATTGGTTCTCCATTAGGCTGCACCTTGGACTCACTGGAGGAACTTTTAGAGCAGCGGTTCTCAACCTGTGGGTCGCGACCCCTTTGGCCGTCGAACGACCCTTTCACAGGGGTCGCCTAAGACCATCCTGCATATCAGATATTTACATTACGATTCATAACAGTAGCAACATTACAGTTATGAAGTAGCAACGAAAATAATTTTATGGTTGGGTCACAACATGAGGAACTGTATTTAAAGGGCCAGAAGGTTGAGAACCACTGTTTTAGAGCATATTGATACCAGGGCTCACTCTAAGTCTTAGCTGGGGTCTAGAAATCAATAATTTGCAAAAGTTCCTCTGGTGATTCTAACATGTACCTGAGAATGAGAATAAGGAGTTTCATAATCTTAAAGATCATGACACTCAAAATACTTGTCATGCTTTTAAGTCATGATTCATGTGTCCTTGACAAATATAAAAGTAGGGTTGTTATCAGGAAGCAAAGAAAAAGTGATTCTAACTTGTTTCTTTTGTTATACAAAGTAGCTGGAATATCAATATCTGTTTTGTTTACCCTTAAAAGTTGTGGACTGTGGTTTTGTTTATCCTTAAGGGAAATGGAGACTTTAGGAAACCTCTAGTTACCTTTAGGACTCTGAATGATCTATATTGACATGATATGTGGATCAGATTAATCATGATAATGGCCAAATCACCTTCATCTATGAACTTGGGTTTAGGAAGATGCTTGCTTTCTTTGAGGAGAATGATTTAGTTCCATAATTACTGGACCCAAACGTGCCGGTATGCAATGTCTAGTGGTGTGTGTGTGTGTGTGTGTGTGTGTGTGTGTGTGTGTGTGTGTGAAAACAAGGGTAGAACCAGCCGAATTTATGCAATTTGGTATGCCAATGGCATTTTGATAATTAAAATTATTTTGCAAATTATTTGTAAAGCTGACTTTATTTTTGTACTATGGCAGAGTAAGAACGTGCAAGGACTTGGGTGTTTTAAGGAGGTTTTAATATTTTGGTTTTGGGGGCAAGGAGGGCTCTTCTCTTTTCAGAGTTCTGTATGATAATTGCACGCTGAGACAGAAACTGTTACACATGTGGTCACTTCATTTTGAGTTTAGTTTGGGCCCCAAATTGAGCTGAAATAAATGATGATGCAAATCACATAAACTGCATCGCCAAGCACACTAGTTTTTTTTTCCTTTCAAAATATCCCTAGGCGACATTCACATTATAAACTAATGACCTGAAAAAATTCCTCTTAAAGCACAAAGAGTTGTGAGTGCAGAAATGTGTCTTAAATCAGTAAGCATCCTTTTTCCTCCTGAAACATTTAAGTACTTTCTGACGAACCAAACGGGACTTAGGGACAGGCCTAAGAGTTGAGTGATAGGAGAACTGATCAAAGTAAATATGGTTCATTTAGTTGTGTGTGTTTTTTTTTAAGTATGTTTTTTTATTGATTTCAGAGAGAGGAAAGGAGAGGGAGAGAGAGATAGAAACTTCAATGATGAGAGAAAATCAATTGGCTGCCTCTTGCACGCCCCCTACTGGTGACCAAGCCTGCAACTTGGGCATGTGCCCTGATAGGGAATCAAACTTTGATCTGGTTCATAGGTTGATGCTTAACCACTGAGCCATACCGGCCAGGCTTTCATTCAGTTTTAAGGAAAACATGAAAGTTGTTTCTTCACAGTTTTCCCCTTCTTTTCAGCCCTTAATTTCTCTTAGTCTCCTTGGTCGTTTTGCTGCTATGTAGTGGAATCTTTTCTCTGTTAAAGAGTATGTGTGGTTAAAACCATGCATACTTATGCACATTTCTTCAATAAGTTTTGTTTCTCAGGTCTATTCTCATTTCCACTGATTGACTGTTCTATTTAATTTTATAATAGTTATATGCCAGAGTGCTGATGGGATTCATTTTCTTTCTAAGAGTGTTAAAAGGGTCAGTAATCCTATTAAAAATATTTCCCTGGAAAAAATTAAACTATAGCTTTATTGAAAGATATTCACATTACCACTACAGTCTCTTGGAAAACAGTTGGAAACTGTTCATATTATAGCATAATTCTCCCTACAGTACATTTATGTCGATCATATTTTACAGGTTTTTTATTTTTTTAGAACAGCTCTGGTTTTTAATTTTTATTTATTTATTTACTTTCAAAAAACATTTTTATTGATTTCAGAGAGGAAGGGAGAGGGAGAGAGAGACAGAAACATCAACGATGAAAGAGAATCATTGATCGGTTGCCTCCTGCATGCCCTGCACTGGGGATTAAGTCTGAAACCCAAGCATGTGCCCTCACTGGGAATCGAACCATGATCTCCTCCTACTTCATAGGTTGACGCTCAACCACAGAGCCACGTTGGCCGGGCTGCTCTGTTTTTTTAAACCAAGATACATATTTGATAATAAATATAATGTTCTATCAAAATCTTTAAGGAGACATTTATTTTAAAGAGACAGTTATAATTGAATTCTCAATAGTGTCTTCAGTTCAAGAGAGTAAGACCAAGTTTTAAGATTTACATGAGAAAATAAGAATGCGGATTTTTGGCTTTATTCATTATTGATGAAGACATTATTATATGTTGACATTATTGTGGCTAAAGATAAGATGCTAGGTTGCAGTCTTAGGTGTCTCAGTTTCTTTGTGAATATGATTAATTTATAGGCCTTTCTAGAATATCCATCTAAAGGGAAAAATGCTCTTCTTCCTTGTCTGTCATATTGCTGTCATTTTTTTAGGTTATAAAAACTTGGACATGAAAACTTATATTTGATTTTTTGTTAATGCATTCATTCATTCTCTGAGTCCTTATAGTCTAGGTATTATTTTAGGTGCTGAGGAGCAAAGAATAAATAATTGTCCTCAAGCTCTAGATGGTCCAGTGTGAGAGAGAAATAAGAAAACAAGAAATTACACTAATGTGTGAAAAGTACCATAATGGACAGAAGCAGAGTTCTGTGAAAGCTCATAGGAGGGACACACACACACACACACAACTATTTTGTGCTTCAGGCTAAATGATTAATTTCCATTAAACTTTTTCATTTTGCCAGCTATTCATCTTAAAACAGTTTGGAAATTGCAGTGAATCACTATGATTTTATCATTAACTCTTAAATAAATCCTTGTTTTTCATTCTCCCATTTCATTCTTAAAATCCTTAGGATCCAGTTTCCCAAGTGATTCTACCAATTTCTATATTACCATTTAAAACAGCTTTCTGTTCACTGCTATATTTATCCACTTTATGTCTGGATCAAATATTTTGTTTCTGATTTTAATGTTTGATTTTTGTTTCCAGTTTTCTTTATGCTATTCTCATTTCACTTGCAATACTTTGTCCTTTTAGCATTTTACTATTCTTTCCACAGGTATTTGAATAACATTCTTGTCAACTCACCCTCTCTATTTCCTTTCGTACTTGTTAATATTTGAACTAAATTTCCTTCCTGTAATTAGAACATCATATATCTGAATGTTCAGCACAAATGGCCATGCCCATGGCTTTATTCACTGGTGGTGGTCAGACCTTTGATTGTTTGAATTAATATCTTTGAAACTTTTAGTTTCAAAACCTCTGAATAGGCTTTAGTTTTTCTTAGATTTTACTAATATTATGTAATCACAAGAGAGTTTAATCTGTACTTTTTACTTTATTCATATTTAGTTCTTTAAGGAGCTATGCCAATAGTCTACCACCATTACGTATTTCAGGAATGTACACTTATCACATGATTTGTGATCACTAGGCCTGCGCTGCTCATCACAGGAGCCATTAGCTACAGGTGACAGCCGAGCATTTGGAATGTGGCAGATGCTACCCAGGAACTAAGTTTTAATTTTTTCTTAATTTTAATTAATTTAAATCTCCATCAAAACACTAATAATTCAGTTATTGGATAACTTTTAAATGTGTTTG